GTTTATGTAGAAGGGTAAACCAGAGAGCCATTATTTAACGTGTGTTTATGTAGAAGGGTAAACCAGAGAGCCATTATTTAACATGTGTGTATGTAGAAGGGTAAACCAGAGAGCCATTATTTAACGTGTGTGTATGTAGAAGGGTAAACCAGATAGCCATTATTTAACTTGTGTTTATGTAGAAGGGTAATTTCTTCGTGTAAAATAAAATAATTAGAACAAAGATTAAAAATTCTGGTCAACAATGATATAACCAGATTACATTTGAAGAAGTTGGGGATAAAACTATTGAAATTGGTGTCGATGGCCAGCCACTCATCCATTCGTTCACATTCTGAAACCACAGGTCACAATATTTCATTTAACGATTTCCCTAATATTACCACGGGATCTTCAGACCTTGACCTCTACATTAAAGAAAGTCTACTCATAGCTAAAGACCGCTCGACCCATAAGTTATTTCGAAACTTGTAAATAAACTGTTTTATCGACCGTCTTCATCTTCATTATTAAATATCGGAGTTCGTTTACAAAATGCTTTTATTATATATATCATTCAATTTGTCAATGTGTGATGAAACCATAGTTCAGAATACCTACTCGTTAATTTTCGTCAGGTTTAATTACGTGTCAATTTCAATTTAAAGCGCGTGTTTAGTGGTACGTTAAGCCTAAAGCAGTGTTTAGATGTTAGTCTCAATCTTTTGAATAAACCATATAATAAAAATAATGTGAGAGATCAGTATAGTACGTCATTCCGCTGTTTAGTAGAAATCGTTTTATTAGAGTGCACTCGACTATTGTTTTCCATTCAGATTCAATACTGTTTTAAACGCATCACGAAAACCTAGATTAGTACACACTAATTGTTTGGGAATTTTGGGGCTAAAATGTACAAGATCCGTCTTTAACACCTGACTTCTAGACTAGAGAGAAGTCACCCACAGCCAACTCTTGGAATACTCTTCTCTGAACAAATAGTGGATGGAGATTGACCATAATTATTGTAGCACATCCGTGGCCCAAAGTGCGGAGTGTGTTTTTGCGACAGTGGGGCGTTAATCGTCAGTATTCGGATTCACAATCCGGGCTCGCTAACCACAAGCTACTCCTGATCACCTACAGGTTTAATGTTTAAACAGTTATATCTAAGAACGCGTTTTATCAACGTTAAAACCACGCACCTCAAGGTAATCCGAACTTTCTCAGGTCAAATCGTGTCATTCTAGATTTTATGTAAAACTTAGATTCACCAAAACAGGAGTAAAGAGCGTGTTGTTTTCAAGTTAGATCTGAAACATATATCATTAGAAGCGAATATTAGTAATCTGTTAATAGATTCGTTAATCCTGTCGTCAGAGTCGAGACTGTACGTTTGTAGGTCGTACACCACCTTGTGGTGGTATCCTTCCCGAAGTATTGTTTTATCGAAATAATGAAAAGGTGAATATTTAGAATTAAGAAGCGTCGACCAAGGTTTGTTATTGTATTCGGGAAGTTGTTGTATGAACACATTAATGTTACTTTTCTAACGGATAACCTCCAAAATAAAAACAATGGTTGGAAAAAAACTATCGAGTGGAAAAAAATATTACCACGAGTGATAGTGTAGTTTTCCTGTTCAACTTTGTGTTTTGAAGCTATTCAAAAAGTTGGTATTAAAAAAAAACCAAGTTCTGACTTTTTTTAATTATTTGGTAAAAATAAAACGTAGCTTCTTGAAAGTCACTATGCATTCCAAAAACAACGAAATTCTTATTAAAGATTTTTCATTAATATTTAAAACTTATTCAAACTAGTGTTAGCATGCTCGGACTGTGAATCCAAAGTTTTCATAGTTCTCGGTTTGTTGCTGCACAAACGCACCCCCACACTTTAAGGCCGTAGGTGTGTTATAAGAATGATGGTCAAATCCCACTGTTTGATCAGACGAGTGTAGTCGAAGAGTTAGTTATGGGCGCTGTTATCTAGCTGCCGTGTCCCTAGTTTGTTAGTACAGAATTAGGAATGGTTGTGATATTATTGAGTACAGAGATTTCCTGCAGAGAAATATCTAGGGTTCACGAGGCCAGAATAATATTACGTCATGGAGTTTGTGTGTTTGTATCTTCCTGAACTTTGCCTCAGTTCGTCAACATGAAAGAAACGGCGCGCAAGATGTACAAAACAATCTTTAATAACAAAGTATAATCAGAGTACAAACACAAAACGAGTGTTTGTGGAACTGGCAAGGGAATGAATTTGCATAGATACCTTTATTGGTTCCCTCTCACCAGTTCGGTGTGAGCCCCCCCCCCCCTCCCTCTCCTCCCTCTAACTTAAAGTATAAGCTACAGTTTCAACAGAACAGCAAAAATATTATCAAAATCTGCTTGTCAAGAGAGAACCTGGCCATAAATACGATACATTCACAAAGTCTTGTTGCTCACAGTAAGCCCCTCGTACACGTGACCTGGAACCATACTGCTTGAGCTTAGAAACGAAGGTCCCCCATGCCACACTACATTACTCGCAGACAAGACAAACAGCCGTCTATTTCGGGACATCACGAATAAAATCGCGTTATCTTTCCTGCAAGAAGACACGCTTAGTGACCAATTAGTCATTAGTGGATCCTTGTGCAAACTTAGAGTACAGAGAAGTTTAGTTATTTATTTGAACGACTCTTTGCGTTCCAACTGAACTAAAAGAAAACGGAAATTTCGAAGATCTTACTTACTAACTAAAAGTGAGGTATACACATGGTATTGTGTTGTAGCAAGGCTATGCGCGTATAGTCCCTTGTGTTGAATTGCCCAACAATTCTGAAACCCTAACACTTTTACTGTGTTTTTTATAATGGCGGTGAAAAAGGCGAATCTTTTGCCTTTTAAAGATGTAATTCGTATTATTTTATAGTTTAATATCGCACTTGAACAGTCGCGTATCCTGTATTCTAAGTCGCTAATAATTAAAAACATAATTTTATACTGATGCTGAGTGTGTTGATTGGTGTATACAAATGTGGGAGTTATGAAATAGGCTTAGAGGCGATCAAACGATAGATAAACAGGTAATTTTTAATTACTTCATTAAAACATCTTAAGTTTCTGTGATTTGTTTAATTTGTCTTAACAGTTTAAAATATTGAAACGTTCGTTTACTAATTATCTTTGTCAATAACAAAGTCCACATATTGAGATTCCTAAAAATGTTTTCTTTTTATGGATAGTGGTGTACGGCTCGTGGTTTGACCATGTTCTTACTTACTGGAAATTTCACCTGGATCATCCTGACAAAGTTCTCTTTATTTCCTATGAGGAACTGAAAATTGTGAGTTTACTTGTCTTTTATACACTATAAAGATTTAGAAAATAAACTACTTACGAACTCAAACAAAGTTATTTGAAAGTATCAACTATTCATCTACCAGAGGTTTTTTTTTTCAGAAGTTTCTCGGGGGGGGGGGGGTATTTGGCAACTCATGTCACGTGATCTGGTCGTATTACCCAAAATGTTTGTTACATTTATGTATAAAATGGTTCAAATCTTAAGGGTACATAGGATTCTCACACCAAAATTATCATGTAGAAATAAAATCCTCAAATTTTAAAAAAAAATCTGGGGTTAGGCTCCCCCTGCTGTACAGAAAGAAAAACTTAATAACTTAAACCAAAAACATGATAATTTCGTTATGTTAACTTCATAGGAATTCTAATAAAGTAGAATAACAATAATATTATAATTTACTTTACGAAATTGGTGAAATCTTAATATAGACAATATATTGTTTACTAATACAATCAAGATAACAAAGTATTAGAAAAACTGTGCATAAACAGAATAAGTAACTGAATTATAACTTGAAACAACATTCTGTACAAGGTGTTCGTAAACCTTGTATCTAGACAGTCACGCGTTAAAATGATGCTAGGCGACTGTTCTGTACTGTGTACCTAGAACAGTCACGTGTTAGAAAAAGTACAGAACGGTCGCCTAGCATCATTCTAACACGTGACTGTTCTAGGTACGGAGTACAGAACAGTCGCCTAGCATCATTTTAACACGTGACTGTTCTAGGTACAGAGTACAGAACAGTCGCCTAGCATCAGTGACTGTTCTAGGTACGCGTTAAAATGATGCCAGGCGACTGTTCTGTACTTTGTACCTAGAACAGTCACGCGTTAAAATGATGCCAGGCGACTGTTCTGTTCTGTGTATCAAGAACAACAACACGTTACACTGGTGACAAAGGGAGGTGGGGTTAAAGCTGTAGACAGTTGGTACACATGCTCTGCTAAAGTAAACTCCATGACTCAATACTACTGTGAAATGTAAAGGGGTATAATCCCCAGTTAATGTAAAAGAGAAAGGGTAAGACATCCTCCCTTCTCCTCTGTGAATTACATCTGTGTAATCTGTTGATACCTCTGACAAGCTGTTGTTAAGAGAGCTAATCAGAGCTGTATTTTTATTAATCTGTTCTTATTAACTGCCCGGTTAATTTCTAACGAATGTGTTAACTTCGACGAAACCCGTACCATCATCACAATTAAAATGTTTTACTTGATTCCAAATTGGCGGGCTACAGATTGTGTGTCACTGTTTGCTTCTAAGATGTTGATTATTGTGCTGTCTATTCCTGTCATTGTGTCTTTTAGCGAGGCAATCGCATAAAAGAAATGTTATCTTGAACTAGTAAAATAGTGTCTACAAATAGTTTAAACTTTAGCAGACAAGGCTGTGTTTGTGGGTGCCAATTTCGAAGCTGGACGGTTAGTGTCGTACTTCTAAGAATCCGGAGTAAAATCACAGTACTATAAAACTATAAAGCTTTCTGTATCAACACTTGATTTATGATTAAACCCATATATTTTGTATGTGTAAATAAAATAAATGAATTGGGATATTATTTTAGGATGTATTCACAGACCCGTTAATCCTAATATTTCAGGATCTGGAAAAGATGGTTGAGAGGATCGCTAACTTTTTGGACCACCCTCTCCCTGCGGAAACCATCAAAACGATCGCTAGCCACTGTTCCTTCGACCAGATGAAGAACAACAACATGGTCAACAGGGAACAGCTTCCAGTCACAGATTTCTTTGACATGTCTCAGTCCAAGTTCATGCGGAAAGGTGAGAACAACTAACCTACTCAAACGTTATTAATGGCAAGTTCGATTTACTTTTACTTTCACTCTTTGTTAATTGTCAGGAAAGTGAAATGACAAGCTCTAGTCACGTAATGGGAGCTTATGAAATGATGTGACCCATACAAACAATGAGGACTTGGCTATACAGGAAATGTAGCGATCCACGCGTAAACAGAGCTTTGGCTGACATTTGGCAAATGACGTGATCAACGAAAGAAAGTAGTTTCGTCAGGGATACTCAGAACATAGCGTAACTGGCAAATGAGCTCACGATAAAATTGGCCGAATTGTCACAAGGCCATAAGTAACGAAGCTGTGGTGGAATTCATGATTGCAACACATACTTTCTCCGCTAACACCATTTCTCGATCTTCAGGATTTCCACTCTTTGCCCATCTAAGCATTGAAAACGCTTGCTCCAGTCTTTATATACCCCACTCAAATGCCCTAAGCAAATTCTAATTTGCAAATTTCCCCACCAACTTTTGTGCGACGTCTATCCTGGTACTGTAGATAAGCACCTCATTCAGATAATGTAATCACTTTCTCTAGACAAAGCGTTTGGCACGGGTTCTATAAACAGAAGTGTTGTGATTATTCACATCATTTACGTTGCGACTTTGAACGTAGTTGGCGTGACTACGGTTATATTTTCGCTTATATTTATAAATTAATTGATTAAAAAAACAGACGACAGTTATAAATTCCCGAATTAATGTTTCTACTACGGAGGCCTCTTCTCTTCTGCTATCTGGTGTTTGTCAACAGCCAGGGGAGTGGTCACTCTCAGTCGAGGCCGCCCGTGATATGATCCGTTGCGAGAGGTTCTGAGGCGGCTTTTGGAAATGACTAGAATAACCGGAGAGAATTTACACTCGCTGTTTTCAGCTCTTTCTTTTACTAGGTCGGCCTCAACAGAGGATCCTCCTCTTTATCAGCCACCTCCAGCCCCTTTTCTTCAGTTGGTTACTTGGGTTTTGGGGTTCTCTCCTATTGCATTTGACTCACCTCCTTCCTTGTTGGCGGAAAGGATGGCTAATGACTACTTTGTTTTTCCGCCTCCTCCAGATATTGCTGTTCATGCTGGGAGATTTGCTGCTTAGTTACGGGACAGGATAGCAATGCCTTGTTCCCCCCCCCCCACGTTTATCCGAACATGTTTAGCTTTTCAACGTCAGGAGGAGGTATCTTTAGATTCTCAATGGAACCCCTTTTGGACCTGTTGGGTTCTAGATTGGAAGCTATGATCACCTTGAGTAGATCACAGTTTTCTCAGATTTGTCTTACTCTCACTACTGTCCTGAGGTATTTCTCTTCGATCCAACTTTTGTTGGAAGTCTTTCAATGTTCCTATCAGCAATTTGAGGACGAGTTGGGGACTTTGCTGACGTCTACTTCAGTCAGATTGTCTTCGTGATTTCTTTCTTCTGGTTTGTTGGTATTTACTGGGTAGAGACGCCTTGTTAGAAATGGTTGTTTGCCATCTTCTGTCCTCAGGAAGTTACGGGAAGCTTCTTTTCTCTGTCCCACCTGGTTTGCCGGAGTTCCAGAGACATTGGAATCGCGAATTGATTCAACTTGTTTACATTCTTCTTTATCATCGTTAGCTTCTCGCCTTTCTGGTGTTAATATAAGAGTGTCGGCTTTTAGTGTTTCCCGACCTCCTCCTCCGGTTCCCATAATAGAGTGCGTCCATGTTGTCGAGGGTGTTCAACTCAGATAGACTGTAGACAACGGCGTCGGTGACTATCCCGTGAGCGGGGGAGCAGTGGGAGCACGATTACATCACATTCTGGTCATCTGAAGCTCTTTTACCAGGGATCCATGGGTACTTCCTGTTCTGGCTTCAGGGTTGGTCATTCAGTTTACATCATCTCCACCATTATGTGCTCAACCTGTTGCCTTTTCACCTCTAACAGATCCACGACGAGTGGAGCTTCGTTCTCTGGCCATAATAGAGTTGTTAGTTAGTCAAAAGGGCAATGGAGAGGGTCGATCCCGTTCTTCTGTGATTTTATTCCCGATTATTTGTTGTACCCAAGAAGACAGGAGATTGGTGCCCAATCATTGATCTGTCTCGACTCAACCAATATTTAGATCCTCCTCACTTTACTAAGAAATCTTTCCTCAACCTACGATGGCACTTTGTCCCAGAGCTCTGGATGACCAAGTTCGATGTTACCGACACTTATCTCCATATTCCTATAGCGGTATCCTCCCGAAGTTTCTCAGATTTGTGCACAAGGGTCAGGTCTTGCAATTCAGCGCTCTACCTTTTGGTCTTGCATCAGCACCTTATGCCTTCTGCAGAGATGTACGAGCTTTTTCTCGTCATCTGCATTCTTTTGGTCTATGCACACATCATTATATGGACGACTGGCTTCTTCTGGCACTATCCCGTCGATTAGCAAAAAAACATTCTCAGGTTCTCCTTTCAGAAGCCACAAAATTAGGCTTTCTTATCAGACTGGAGAAACCTTTTCTGTCACAGATGCAATATCTCGTCCATCTGGGTGTGTTTTTCAATACTCAAGTCGAGCTCAACCAACCCCCATCAGGTTACAAGCCATAAAAAGAGCCATCAGGCTTTTACCTATGTCTCCTTTTCCTACTGTGTGGATGGTTCTCTCTCTTTTGGGGACATGGGTATCCCTTGAACCTCTCATTCCTTTGGGACGAGCACATATGAGATCTCTTCAGTGGTCACTATGTGACCAATGGATCGTGCGTTCTGACCCTTTGAATCATCCTGTCTCATTACCCAGGATTAACATCACGCCACGTCCTTCTCGAACCTTCATGAGTTATCGGGAGACTACTAGATTGGGGGTAGTCTGGTATATATAAGACGCTCACAACGTGACGGAAGAAGGTAATGAGTAACTGAATGTATGCGGACAGAATATTGTTGGCCACGTGAGACGTGAGTTATAGTGTTGTTATAGAGTGACTGTTGAAATTAAGTGTATCGTAAAGTTGTATTCGGAAAGAATAAACCAGTTTTATTTAAGAAAGGAATTGTGTCGCTAAAGTTTCGTCGTAACGAATTTACGGAAAATCAACGAACGAACGGAGACGTAACAAATTGGTGTCAGAGAGTGGGACAAAAAAAATGGAAATGAGAGGCGGAAAATCAAACTACAGCTTAGCAGATTTGATGGCAGCAATACAAGAACAGCAAAAGAAACAAGAAGAACGAGAAAATAAACAAGAAGAGAGATTACAGCAGTGGTTGGAGGAAAAAGAAAAGAAACCAGAAAAACGAGAAAATAAACAAGAAGAGAGATTACAGCAGTTGTTGGAGGAAAAAGAAAAGAAACAAGAAGAACGAGAAAAGAAACAAGAAGAGAGAGATTACAACAGTTGTTGGAAGAAAAAGAAATGAAACAATAAGAGAGACAACAGCAGTTGCAAGAAAACCTGCAACAATGGCAGCTCGAACAGCAAAATAAACAAGAGAAATTACAACAGTTCTTGGAGGAAAAAGAAAAGAAACAAGAAGAGAGATTACAACAGTGACAACTGGAACAAGAAAGGAAACATGAAGAAAGCCAGCAGCAACTACAGGAAAGTCAACTACAGTGGCAATAAGTAAATTTAAAAGCGAATTAGATACATTAAAGGATGATTTATTAAGGATACATTACCCGTCGACTTAATCAGCCCAGACAATGGCAAGCCCCTTCCAGATCCCGCAGCTAAACCCTAATGCAGACATCTTCAGCCCTATTGGAAGTCACATCCCAGATATGAATGTCAGTAATAGGAGTGATTCAGTAAGAAGGAAGCCACAAGAATACGATGAGAAAGCACCGTGGGAACCACATAGAGCACAATTTGAGCTACTGGCAGAGATGAATGGATGGACAGAGGAGCAGAAAGCAGTATATCTGGCAACGACCTTGAAAGCACAACCACTGGAAATACTTGGACAGTTGTCGGCAGACGACAGGCACAACTATAGAGCACTGGTAGCAGCTCTAGAACTCAGGTACGGAACCCAAAATCAGTCAGAAGTCTACAGGGCTAGGTTTAGGACGACAGTCTGTGCTAAAGGGGAGAGCCTGCAAGAACTGGCTCAGGACTTGGAAAGCATAGCACACAAGGCCTACCCAACTGCACCACCCGATATTCTCAAGTTGTTGCTGAGGGATCAGTTCGTAGATGCCTTGGACAGTCCACAACTTAAGATACAAGTGAAGCAAGCACACCCATCTACCATGCAGGATGCAGTGGCCAGAGCTCTCGAATTTGAATCCTACGTT